TTTTAAAAGGGAAAAGTGACATGAATGTGTTTATGTTTGAGGCTTTTTTCATTTCCATTGTAATAAAGAATGATAGGTTCAAATTCAAAAATGGAAAAAGTAGTGAGGTGGGAAGCTACTGTTACAGAAAGTCCTTTGATGCAAATCACATGCCCAGAAGACATCAGGGAAACAGATTAGTACTTGTAACCCATATTAAAACATTAAAAATAGTATCTAATTTTCTTTTATTTGCTTATCATTAGGATTTTGGTGAATTTATGAGGGAAAACAGATTAACTCCTTTTCTAGACCCCAGATATAAAATTGATGGAAGTCTTGAGATCCCTTTGGAACGAGCAAAAGATCAGTTAGAAAAACACACTCGTTACTGGCCTATGATTATTTCACAAACTACAATTTTCAATATGCAAGCGGTAAGTGTTACATTTAAAGTTTTATAAGTAAGGGTAGTGGGGGGGAGAAGGAGGAGGCGGGGGGTTGGGGAGAGAAATGGTCCAAACAATGTATGCACATTTGAATAAATGAATAAAAAAAATTAAAAAAAAACATTTTCACTTTTCTTGTTCTTTGTAGAAACAAATTTTAAAATTTGCAATTTATATCATTTCTCAAGTAAAAACATGAAATATGTGAGTTTGCTATAGTTAAAGAATTAGTAATTGGGAATCAAAGTAATAGTTATAGATTCACTAAAGTCAGGCTCTGCCTCAAAGCTTTGATATTTGTTTTTCAGGACAGATTTTCCTTTTTCTTTTAAGCAGGTGGTTCCATTAGCCGGTGTTATTGTGAAAGAATCTTTGACAGAAGAAGATGTATTAAACTGTCAAAAAACAATATACAATTTAGTTGATATGGAAAGAAAAAATGATCCTCTGCCTATTTCTACAGTTGGTACAAGAGGAAAGGGTCCTAAAAGGTAGAGTTTTCTTAATTGATATGTATTGTTTTTTAAGGTGACGTATTCCATATGTAAATTATTTGAGGATGAGTATATATACAGATGTACATATGATGTAGATAAAATATAGAGTACGTTGTAACTTAGAATTCCACCATTAACTATCAAGTAAGAGAAAAGAAGTCCATATTTATTTTTAACTTTACCAGTAGGAAGTGACACTTGAATATTATTAATGTTTAAATATTTGAATCTTACTTATAGGACATTTCTGAGAATGTTACTTTAAATCTTTACTGCAGAGATGAACAATACCGTATCATGTGGAATGAATTAGAAACCCTTGTCAGAGCCCATATCAACAACTCGGAGAAACATCAAAGAGTTTTGGAATGTCTGATGGCATGTAGGAGCAAACCCCCAGAAGAAGAGGAAAGAAAGAAACGGGGAAGAAAGAGGGAAGACAAAGAGGATAAGTCAGAAAAAGCAGTGAAAGATTATGAACAGGATAAATCTTGGCAAGATTCAGAGAGGTGACTTCTTGGCATTAATATAGGACCCAGGGGGGCTTTGTCTTAATCACATTTTGCTTATAACACATTCAAACTTCATTTAACACAAGCTTGTTTATTTTATAACTATAATTTTAATCATTCCTAAAATGTAGATCTTTCTTGGGCTTAAAAGGTAAGGAGTTTTTAACTGTTGGGACAAAAAATAGCATTAATTTTTCCTAATTAGCTTTTGAATATCATATTGCATGATGTTTGTATCAGTATGTGCTTTATGTGTTATGAATTTTTAAAACATAATTT